GTGTGGGGAAAACATCGGCCAATTGGTTCTCTAATTTCACAAAAGGCATGCAAATCAAGCCCTTGTTCAACATTTCTTTGATTAAGTATCAATCAATCTCAATATGTTTAGATCTATCATGTTGAACTGGATTATGAGCAATATTGATAGCAACCTTATTATCACAGTACAGTCTCATAGGCACATCTTCATGAATTTTGAGCTCTCCCAGTAAGGTTTTAAGCTACAGAAGCCGACAAATTACTTGAGCCACTGTTCTATATTCGGCCCCAGCACTAGACCTAGCTACCATTGCTTATTTTTTATTTTGCCAAGTAACAAAATTTCTTCCTATCAACCTATAGTAGCGAGACGTAAATCGTCTGTTCTCCACTGAACTTGCCCGGTCTGCATCAGTAAATACTCCTAACTTTAAGTGACCATGTTTGGAGAATAGAATCCCTTTTCCTGGAGCTGATTTAAGATACCTCAAAATACGATAAACAACTTCAAGATGAGGAGTTCGAGGATCATGCATGACGTGACTGATAATACCCGCTGCATAAACAATATTTGGACGAGTATGAGAGAGATAGATCAATCTCCCTACTAATCTCTGGTACTTTTACTTATCATCTACATCACCTACTCTACTACTCATTCATGTAAGAGCTAAAGAGCCAAGACACCATTTGCTTGAAGTGCTTGACTAGTAGAATGAGAAGTTCCACCATCTAAAAGGTATAGACCACCATATGCTCTACCACTGTAAATAGTTTTCCCCAACTATAGATCTTGAAAGATACAATGAGTAGGGTAAAAGGTCACTGAACAATTCAGGAAATTTGTAATACTGTTAATGGACAAGAAATTTTTAGAAAAATTGGGGACATGAAGAACGGATGAAAGGGGCAAGGCAGAAGAGTAATTAATTCAACATTTTCAGCTTTTACTCTTACCTTTTTTCTATCTAAATATGTAGAGTATGAAGAGAAAAGACTAGAGAAACTTGTCATGTGGTCCGTGGCTCCACAGTTGATTATCCGCTAGCAGATATATCAGTTTGAGCAAAGTTGAAAATAGAAGAAAAAACATGATTGGATGAAACATCAAATTGAGCGATCAAATGTCAAAAGGTTTGCATCTCATCTTGAAAAAAAGAAGTCGAAGTACTGACTACTGTCCATGTCCATGGTACCAGAAAACACCAAAAATGATGAAATCACAAACGAAATTGCACACACCATCAAGTTTCACACTATAATAGCAAGAAGCCTCAAACTAAAGGCTAAAAAATGACCTGGGGTGAAGTAGCCTCAACTAGAGGCAAAACCCCAAATCTAGATCCATACAGCTGCGAAGAACCCCATAGCCAAGCCACATTTCTGCCCCAAATATGCAATAGCCTGGCCAGTGCAACACCCAAATAACTCCAACAGTAGCAGAAGATAGACAAAAAACGATGCAACTTAGTAGCCAAACAATGGCTAAAGTATTACCATAGGGCAAAAAGTAGCAGTCAAAACAAAATCTAAAGCCAAACAAGGGTAAAAAACAAAACCAGAATTAAAGAGCTCTAATTTAGCGCACAAAATCACCTCAAAACCAAAAAAAAATTACAAATTGGAACAAAAAAAATTGCACACTTGTGGCCGAATAGTAGCAGTAGCCTTCCAGTAGACTTACACGCATTCACCAGTAGCAAAAAAGTCTCAACAATAGCCAAACTGGAGATTTACAGGAGCATAAGATTAGCCTAGGACCTTATGCATCAACCAGGGGGCTGGAACAATAGTCCGAACAGTAAAGAGGTTGAAAATGGCCAAGTGAAGACTTTGCCTTGTTGAGGTTAAGGATTCAAGTCCCCCCTCCTCCCACCAAAAAAAAAGAATTTGAAAAAATGGCTAAAAACCTCTCAAATCTGATCTAATCATGAGAAATTGCCACTGAAGAAGTAGTGTAATACCCCATTCTATTTTGGCGTGGAACTAGTTGGGGAATATTATCTTGGAAGGAATAAGAAAATTTTTTAAAGAAGAATTTAGAATAATCTAGAATGTTAGAGAAGTTTCTAGAAAGTTCTAGAAGTATCTGGAAAGTTCTAGAATAATTTAGAGAAGTCTAGAGTATTTTAGAAGGTTACTAGAAGGTTTTAGAGGAATTTAGAATGTTCTGGAAAGTTCTAGAAGGACGTAGAAGGTTGGAGAAGACTTTAGAATATCATAGATGAATCTAGATACTTGTGAAATTGCCATGTGCAAAATAATTTTGAAGCCTAGAAGGATCTAGGAAAGGGGAGATAGTAGAATATTCTAAGGAATCTCCCCTAAGAATGTCATATGTCAATATTCTCTAGAATAATCGTAGGATGCCTATAAATAGGACATTTGGGGATTGGATTAAGATACAAGTGCACAAGTAGTCTTCCACTTTCAAGAAAGAATAGAGAGTAAAAGAGAGAAGAAGAAAGGAAGAACACCTCATCAAAGGAGAAAAGAAATTGTGAGAAATTGAGGAAAGACATCAATAACATCTTACTCTATTTCAGGTAACAAGCAACACTCAAGAAGCATATCATTTGGACTTAAGGTAAATGGTTTGACATGCTACGTATTTTCCTCGTATCCCTAAACATTTTAAAAATGATACATAATGCTTGTTCTTTACTACCTTTACAATAATACTTTACTAATTGTCTAAATATTTACGGCATATGATTTTGATTACTTTGATGAACTCTTTTGTGAAGTATTGTGACTCAATCACTTGTTTATATGGTGAGACTTTGTGATAGTGAATGAGACTATGATTGAAAGTCTAGGAAAATTATTCCTCTGTGTGCGGGTGACCTTAGCCATTAGGGAATAGACTCGGGAGAGGTTGAGGTGACCCTAGTGCTCAACGGTTGAAGAAACAGTACCTGGTGCGTCCTAGTGACCTTCACCGGATCGTCTTAAGGAACAGACTTGGGGGAGGCTGTGGTGACCCTAAGTACGATGTTGGATCCAACCCTGAGATATATTCTAGCATTTGGTTAAAAATTTAGAAAAATTATTCCTCTGTGTGCGGGTGACCCTGGCCATTAGGGAACAAACCTGGGGGAGGCTGAGATAACCCTAGTGGTCAACGGTTGAAGGAATAGTTCCTTGTGCGTCCTGGTGACCTTCACCGGATCGTCTTAGGGAACAGTTCCCGGGCAGCAACCCGTGGTGACCCTAAGTACGGTGTTGGATCCAATCTTGAGATCTTCTGGCATTTGGTATGGTTCCCAGATATTGTAAATATCGTACAAGTCCTTACTAGTATAAGATGATAATATAATTTGTTATTGTCACAACATTTTGACTGGCTTTGTTTATGATTATCTATCGTATGCCATACGTATTTTCTTGTTATTAGTTATTATATTTGGTATTTGGTTCCCATCGATTATTGGATATCGTATAGTCTCCACCATTTTGATATGATTCACCATTGTGGTATGATTTCTTGTTGGAATCCAATTGTGTTATTCTTGTTGATATCCGATTGATTGGGGACTAATAGTATTGTGATCTCCGTAGCATATATCGTATAGCCTTTTTTACTTGTTTGGATAATTGGGGCAAACAGGTTTAGGTATATTGACTTTAACATATCGACATGAGAGCAATTTAGTGTTAATTTTATTTTTCATTCCTATATTATTAGTTTATTGTTAGGCTTACGTGTTTCATAGGTTATGGATCTATGGTTCACGGCCGGTCATGCCATTGGAGTTGAGGTGTGACAAGTAGCCCACTACTAGAAAATACCACAAACTGTACTAGAAAATGATAAGAAGGATGCAGAGACACAAACCAGAGACAAGACAAACCTTCCTGGCTCTCAAAGTGGGCACTCGACACCTGAAAAGTGTCAAACCAAGGGTGCCGATAGTCTAAAGGGGCAAAGAGCCTCAGAAACCCAAGCAAAACTCAACACAACAGTTTGGGCATCCCACAAAAGCCTTAGTCATACCCCTCCTTAGAGATTCAAAGCAAAAACAACACCAAATTGGCTCAGAAAGCACAGATCACAAGTTGAAGCCCCAAAATTTCAAAAAATAAAATGATCAAGCAAACGGCCTCAAAAAATCCAAACAAATCTTGGGAGAGGATTTTGAATTACCCATAAAAAATTCAAAAAAATTGGATGTTGACGTCGGCTTGTCAGATCTAACATTAGGTTCTGACATCAACATGTTAGACCTGACAGAGTCCCACAATTGGATACGTATAAGCTGTTCTGATGAATTCAATAATCTTGATCGCTGTTCTGATACCAAGTTGAATTATGATGTAATAAGGGTTTATGAGAAGGAGAGGAGAAGAAGAAAAGAGAAGAAATTGTGGGAATAGAGTAGTGTGTTAGGCAACTACACCCAAATTATATATATAAGCACAAAGTACAAGAGTACCCTCAAGCTAAAAAAATAAAGCTTAAGCAATAATAACTAACAACTATCAAAGACAAATTAAAAGTTTAATTTAATATATGATGCACTTCTTAAAGAAATGCATTCTAATCTGTGCAATCCTTGTCCTAGCATACCACATTTTAAAGTCTATATCGCACACCTTGTTACATGTCCCGTTGTGCCTGATAAAACAGTCCAAGCCTAGGTTGCATTGCTCTGCTCCTTCGATTTATTGTTCACATAGGATTACAGACCGGATGATGGTAGATTGTTGTGAAAAATTGTTGCTGCACCAGGATCTTTTCAACAAATCATTTTGGTGGTGTTATCTCGTTAATAACTAGTTGATGGTAAAAATATATGTTAACACTTGTGGAGAAAAAATTCTAGACACAACTAATACTTCTCTAATCCATTCTGTTGGGTCCCTTTTATGTGACTGTAGGAGGTAAATAGTTCTATGATCTTTTGTATGACAGTATCACATTGGGGTAGTGTTTACTTTTTATAGCCTAATTTAGGATTTATGAAGTAAGATGCATTTTGTTCCTGTGGATTTTCTGGTGTTTTCTTTACATCCAAGATGGTCTGTTTGTCACTTTGTCAGAAAAAATTTCACAATCCTTACTTTCTAATTCATTGCTAATCATCATCATTTTGTTGGCGTTAGATGCATTGAACCCAAAACCAATCAACAATGGGTCGGGAGGCCTTTCAATCTTATAAACCAACCTTGGGTGGCCTTAGTTTTTCAATGTAGGATACAATCTATATTTACACCCTCCCTCATGCAAAACACGGGTTCACATGTAAATAAACAAACCTTTATACCGGGATGTTCGAATGGGTGAGAGACTTGGCCCACTGGTCACTTGAGACTCACCTTGATACCATGTTGTAGGCTTTCAATCTTAAATTAATTGGCAATGGGTGGAGAAGCCCTCAATCATATAAACCATCCTTGGTTGGATGAAATATTTTGTAGTGTGACACAAGCTCTTTTTATATGCTGCTCCAAATTGTAATTTTCAGGTGTCATTCTCCACATGGGAGGAAGAAAGCCCACACCCACAGCAGGATTATTCAATTCATCTTGATTCATCATATGCTTCTGTACGAAATCCTTTCTCAGAAAAGAAGTGGAAAAAATTCCAATTATCCAGTTTATTTGGTACCTCAAATGCTGCAATCAAGTTGCATTTAATAGATGTGAACTTGCATCAAGGAGGAATTAGAGTTGTTGACCAATGGCTCATTGTGCTTAGCCTGGGTTCGGGGCAAACAAGAAATTTGGCTCTTGATAGGTATGTTAGAAAACATAATGTATCTGGTAAATTATTCTTCAATCTAACCACTGCAATCTGGATATTTAACCTGAATATCAATTTATTCTTTCTTTCATATCTTCATGAGAACTTGTCTAGTTCCTGTTGGAAGTTGGGAACTTTTTAAGAGCTAAAAATGTGATATCTTAACCATTTCTTGGCATATATTTCAAGATCCAGTGAACTAATCATAACTTTGCTGTACTGAAATATGTCTTGGTATGCAGGACACATATACTGACATGGATACATATTGTTTGAAACTATTATTTTCAATGGTCATTTGATGCAGAAATAGGAACAATTCATAGTAGATGCCTTGCCTACCTTATTTTACATCCGTTTAAAATATATATTCATCATTTCCTTAACTGTAAGATAAATATTTGTGGGCACCCTGAAAATTTTGCTCTATACTGCTGTCCCTAGATTCACAGTTTACAGATGTTAATTCTGTGCTTCAAGTAACAAATCACAGGAGATAATGCTTTTGGCCTGGTCAGAAAAACATCTGCTCTTTCTTGTAAAAGGCACTTGTTTAATCAAGTCCCTCCTTCAGTTATGATGAATTGATGAGTGAATACTGTTATTGGGTCATAATATCTCCAGGTCTGCTTTTAAAATTTACTTAACAAACCTACTGGTTGAAGACGGTTTTGGGGGGTGGACTGGGGGAGAGTGGTGAACTGGAAAGTGTTTAATCAAAGCTGTTATTTGGGTACAGGTTGGAAAATGACGTTGATTCAATTCATATCTTTAGTTGCTTTTAGTCTTTCTTAAAACCTGCTTCTCCTAAAAGAGTTGTTCCTCTCCAAAGAACTTTTGTATTCTAGCGATGTGTTTCCAACACATTCATCACTTATGCATCACCAGGCTCTGTTTTTTCCCATCAAAATGGCATGTAACTGTTGAATCTTCAAGCATTCCCTTTTCTAAATAAAACTCTATATATGGACAACTATATTAGTATACATATTCATGCTCATGTGAACTTGGGTACCTTTGAGACTTGGCAGCACACTGATATGAAGAATTACAATTCTGTTATCTGTCTTTATTTTGAATCATCTTGCACCTTTTGTGAAATCTTTCAAGCAGGCTTTCAAGCTTGGCAAACTTGACAATCACTCATAGTCGAACGCATGGTGTGTGCAATAATTTTGATTATACCGTCGCCTACCATGTCTATTCGTATTGTCTCAAACCACATGGTCTTTCCTTCTGTTAGGCTTCATTGATGCTATCTTTGGTATTGTTTGACGTGGTCAACCATCTTAGTCAGTTTTCTTTGTATGAATAATGAATGCTACTTTTATTGTTTTACGAGTTTCAACTCCAAAGGGTTATGATGGAGATGTCATTTCAAAAAAGAGAATTCCCTTTTCAAATGGGGAAGAGCAAAATACTTGAGTCTAAAAGCAGACGAATGCTTCTCTACTGTGTATTCTCTTTCTTTAGCAACAGAGGGTTTACTTCCTGTGACAATGTGGCAGGGTTAGTTATCATGCCTGCTTTTCCTCCTTGTCCTCCCTCCCACCCTTGCTCTCTCTATTTTTCGTTCACCAGTTTATTGTTGACTTAGCATCCCATCATTAATAGGTTTCCAAACTAGAGACCATGCTTGTCACGCCCCAACTCCAAGGGCATGACCGGCCGTGAACCATAGATCCATAACCTATGGAACACGTAAGCCTAACAATAAACTAATAATATAGTAGTGGAAAATAACATTAGCACTAAATGGATCTCATGTCAATATGTTAAAGTCAACATACCTAAACCTGTTTGCCCCAATTATCCAAACGAGTAAAGAGGGCTATACGACATATGCTACGGAAGTCACAACACTATTAATCCCCAATCAATTTCTTGAGTCCGCTATTAACACTCTAATCGTTTACCTAAAAAAATATTATTTTGAACACATGAGCTAAAAAGCCCAGTGAATGGAAAGACATGCATATTCAAGGTGGCTGAAAAACATATTTGGCATACGACATGTAAATCAAAAGTTTGGAAAAATAACTTCATCAAGATAACCAATTTTTCAAGAATAACATAATCGGATTTCAACAAGAAATCATACCACAATGGTGAATCATATCATAATGGTGGAGACTATACGATATCCAATAATCGATGGGAACCATATATCAAATACAAGAAAATATGTATGACATACGATAGATAATCATCAACAAAGCCAGTAAAAAAATATTGTGACAATAACAAATTATATCATCATCTCATACTGATAAGGACTTGTACGATATCTGGGAACCATACTAAATGCCAGAAGATCTCAAGGTTGGATCCAGCATCGTACTTAGGGTCACCACAGCCTCCCCCGGGTCTGTTCCCTAAGACGGTCCGGTGAATGTCACCACCAGGACGCACCAGACACTGTTCCTTCAACCGTTGAGCACTACGGTCACCTCAGCCTCCTCCGGGTCTGTTCCCTAGTGGCCAGGGTCACCTGCATACAGAGGAATAATTTTCCTGGATTTTCAGTACCAAATGTTAGAATATATCTCAGGTTGGATCCAACATCGTACTTAGGGTCACCACGGGTTGTCGCCCGGGAACTGTTCCCTAAGACGATCCGGTGAAGGTCATCAGGACACACCAAGTACTGTTCCTTCAACCCGTTGAGCACTAGGGTCACCTCAGCCTCCCCGGGTCTCTTCCTTAGTGGCCAGAGTCACCCGTACACAGAGGAATAATTTTCCTCGACTTTTAATTTTGGTCCCATTCACTATCAGTAAGTCTCACCATATAAACAGGTGATTGAGTCACAAGAATTCATCAAGCATGAAGAATTGTATGTCACAAGTATTTAGACACTTAGTAAAACATTTTGTAAAGGTAGTAATGAATAAATTTTTAAAATGTTTAGGGATACGAGAAATTTTCGAAAATACGTAGCATGCCAAACCACTCACCTCAAGTCCAAATGATATGTTTCTTGAGTGTTGCTTGTTACCCGAAGTAGAGTGAGATGTTATTGATGCCTTTCCTCTTTTTCTCACAATTCCTTTCTCCTTTTGATGAGGTGTTCTTCCTTCCTTCTTCTCTCTTTTACTCTCTATTCTTTCTTGAAAGTGGAAGACTATTTGTGCACTTGTATCTTAATCCCATCCCCAAATTCCCTATTTATAGGCATCCTACGATTATTCTAGAGAATATTGACACCCTAGAATATTCTACCATCTCCCCTTTCCTATATCCTTCTAGGTTTTAAGCTTATTTTGCACATGACAATTTCACAAGTATCAAGATTCATCTATGATATTTAAAGTCTTCTCCAACCTTCTACGTCCTTCTGAAACTTTCCAGAACATTCAAAATCACTTTAAAACCTTCTAGTATTTCCTAGAACCTTCTAAAATACTCTAGACTTCTCTAGATTGTTCTAGAACTTTCCTAATTCTTCTAGGAACTTCTTCAACATTCTAGATTCTTTTAGATTGTTCTAGACTATTCTAGGTTATTCTTGAACTTTCTAGAATCTTCTAGACTATTCTACATTTTTCTAGAAACTTCTCCAAAATTCTAGATTATTTTAGACTATTCTAAATTCATCTTTAAAATTTTTTTATTCCTTACAAGATAATATTTCTAACTAGTTCCTTGTCAAATTGGAACGGGGTATTACAATGCGGGTTATTTGGTGACTGACTCCCACAGTTTTGGTCAGAATGGTAGAATTTAAATAAAATTGATGGAACTTTCCAAAATCTAATGAAATTTATGGTCAGATAGAATATAGGTTGGTCAAATGTACAATTTTATAGGACAATTCTGGCCCAAATGCATAAAATGGAATAATGTGAATAGCTCTTGTTTTCAAAGCTTAATACAAATAATGAGGATGTAATTTGAAATCACAAATCCCACATTTGCATTTGCGAGACACTTACCTAAACTTTCATTTTATGATGCCTGTCTATAATATGAAGTTTTGTCAATTCTATGGCAAGTGTTTCCCACTTGGTTTAAATCACATATTACACAAGACTCATCTGAAAGGACACTGAGTCTCATTGAAATCACTACAACCACTGTTTTGAAATTCTTCATTTCTTATGACAGTAAGGTAAAGTTAGGTTTCTTTGACTTGATTAATCTAGGGTTCAATTTTACCTTGGCGTTGATACTATTAATGGTCCTTGTAAGCTAACAATCAAGGGAATGTGGATTTTGATATAATAAATTTACGATATTGTGTGTTTTTCATGAGTTTTTTTTGCAAATTGGGTGGTGGGGAGAAGTGTCACATCAACCTTTATTACATTGGTTCCTAAGAAAGATTGCTCAATTAAGGTTAATTATTATAAGGTTATTAGTTTCGTGACTAGCTTGTATATAGTTATCACTAAAGTGTTGGCTAGCTGGCAGACTTAGTGAAGTTTTTGGTTATATAATTCCTATAGTTCATAGTGGGTTTGTTTAGTGTAGACAAATTTTAGGTGCAACGTTAATGGCGAAGGTAGTAGAAGATGCTAAGAAGAGAGGAAACAAACGAATTGTACGCCGAATTTATATTTGGAAGGCTTATGATTAGGTATATCCAAGGATCGAAATATTGTTTCGAAGTACCGTTTCGGTTAGGTAAAAAACGAAGATGTTTTAGAAGCGCAATGAAAACGCGGAAAAAATATGAAAATACTTGGAAACACAAATACAATCCATTTATTTATAAAGATAAGTTAAATAATTGATTAATTCAACATATTTATTGGGTTAACATCCATTTATACAAGAATAAATTTAAATCGGAGGAAAAAAAAGGCTTGGTATGAGGTGAAAATTACTTAAATTAGTTTCAAACACTTAATTTTTATCAAGTAAACATATTTTTATATAATGTTAAGGTCTCATATTGCAAATGAAATGCGAATGAGTACATACTTATATGGCTACATCCATTCTCATGTGGAGTGTCGAGCAGACTCATACATCGGTGTAAGCTCTGGGTAGTTACTTAGAGGAACTCCAGAAATGACATAAATATAATGACAATAGTTACTCCAGCTCATATTATTACGATAATATGAATTATACTCTTTCCCAAATCTCTGATAGTCTGCAACACTACATTAAATCTGCTGAGAAATGAATGCACCAGTCCTTGGCCAACCTTCATCTTGTCTATATGAGAAGGATGTCCGGGAGTTATGGCTAGATCCATAACCATATGTTGAGGATCCATATTCGTATCCTCGTGTGTCGTATCGATCCATAATCATACGAGGGAATGC